CTCTGCAGGGCATAAGCAAGGGGGGCAAGGAATACAGAGAGACACCATTATGCAATTCTTGCTTGTTTTCCATTTCCCACCAGAGCTTGAAAACTCCCAGCAGTCTCAGCCATTAGAATAACACGAGTTGAGAAAATAGATGGAGTGTGCAGACAGATCTGCCCTGTTTTGCAAAGCGATATCGGCGAGCACAACACTATACGGCTTTGAGTATCGCCTAGGGTTTGATTATATATGCATCTCACGGGATGTTATTTGTATAAACCAAGAAAGTCATGTCTGGATTTCACAGATGCTTTAATTGTGTACATTTACTACCACCATGACGATAATGAAGTGGGTGCTTTAGATGGTCCATTTAGCGGTAATAGCCTCAAAATTGATTTATAATGAATTTACAATAAAGATCTTTTCCTATCTTGGCCTTTATCGGTTCAGTGCTGTTCTTAATGAGCCGAGCGAGACGGCAACTGAACAGAATAGCAACAGATATTTATCAGTCAGACGGTGCGAAATGAGAGCAATAACTGTATTACCATGTGAAAAAAAGTATTATTATTACTCATATATAAAGCTTTGAACAAATCTCTAACTGTAAGTTTAAAACTCTAATGTATCTACCTTTTTATTTTTAACGTTAGAGCTTTAACTTGAATGTGCGAGGCTTCTGGTGTCAGTCCCTTCCAGTTAATTTAGCTGTAAAAAAACGGTCTATTATGCCACTTGGTGCTGGAAACTGGTATTTGTTATTATATTATTTTAATTTATTATCATAATCATAAACAGTGATTGGTAGCACATATTGTTTACTGCACTATGAATAATTTGTTCACTAAATCAGTTCTTGACTCACTCACTCATCTGGTCTCAACGATTGTCAGCTAAACTGGAATTTGTTATCATATTTTAATTTATTATCAGAATCATACACACCATGGTAGTGCAAATAATTTGACTAATCTGAAGTCACGCACATTCACAAGAAATTGCATACTAAATAAAGAGGACTCAACTTTTCTAAACATTCAAACATACAATTTTCGCAACAATAAAGCAACATAAAGTAAACAAATAAATTACAAATTCTAACATTGAAGGAAGAATCCAAGCCATCCATGTATTTATGGGAATTTTGGGATACTGCAAATTATAAAACTGGATGGAAACACTACGATGCCAACTAATACGCAACAAAATTCCAAAACAAGCTAAACTTGTTTGAGGTCAATTTTGAGGTAAGAAGACATGAACATAAACTACGTCAGAAAAAATTTTACTTGCATGTGACTGAATAACTGAATGAAAAAGTGCTTTATTCATAAATTGCTCTACGATGTTCCAATTTTTTTTACATAAATTAAATTCGCAACTTGCGAAAATATTTATGTCGCCCTAGTTACCACCTAAAACATCCCTAGCAACTAAACAGCAACATCCTAGCAATGTGACGCGAGTTTTGCACATGGATGCATAATATATCACTATTTTATCGATTGTCAGCTGATAATATAATTTTTTAAAAAATGTATTAGTATGTTAATTTTGAATTTTCAACTGTGCATAAATTCCTCTATTTTGACATTTAGATTACCTTTGCCATCATCTAACACTCACTCACACAGTGAATCTTTAAAAACACTAATAATTTTATAAAAGCGCAAATGTAAAAATTTTGTTCTGTTCTGTTGACATTTGCGTCATGTTCAGACATAAACACTGCTAAAGAACTCTTTTAAACCTGTGACTAGTGCTGGGCGATATAGCTAAAAAGTTTATCAACGATATAATGTTTCATATCGTTCGGTATCGATAATTATTGACATTTTTATAACCTTTTTTAAAACAAAGAGCAATAGAATTTTTTTTTTTATTTAACTACTGTATTTTTAAATTAACCCAATTTATTGAGACAAACAACAAATATTTGTTGTTTTAACAATCAAACACAAAATAAAATGAAATATCTCATTTCTAATGTTTTATATGCAGATTAAATAGGTCTTAAGGAAAATTTTGTCTTGTCTCCCGAGGCCACAGGTGGGCGCAATGAGCAAAATAATGCAGCACATTTAAATTGTCAACGCAAGGAAGTAACTCTATAAAAAAAATGTGCATTACGTCTAAATTAACTCATAAAAATCAAATATAATTTCATAAATTACATAAACAATTATGAACAAAACAGCATCACGTATTTATGCATTGCTTAATCCAAAGAACCGCAGAGCCCATCACACAGATTGAATTTAAAAAAATATGAGACGCAGTGAAAAGGAGTAAACCTCCACAAATTCGTGACGTGTTTTCTAAAGGTTTAAACTGTTTTAACTTTGCATGCCTACATCTCTTGTGTGAGACGCGAGTGCAGCAGTCATAGTTGTCCGTCTAAAAAATGCGCTGAATATGCATCTGTGTGAATGGCTTGGTTTCGGTTTTAACCTAATCAAGATCTTCTTCGCATTCAGCTTCTATATTTCTCTAATATTTTGAATGAATAATGCAGAAACTGCTCGTCTCGTGAGCTAGACTAACAAAACATTAAACTACAACGTCACTTACATCATTACCGCATCTTGCGCGCCACTGATGACGCTCCCTGATGCACACCTAACATTCAAATGCAAAGGTTTATTTTAAATTTGACTAATATAAATTTTTTATTCAAAATCTCCTCATCACAGGCAGGCACAGCACTCAATTCAGCATGTTCGTGCTCGTGTTTGTGTGTGCTGTCTGCATCACTCATAGCATGTGACTATATCGAACATTTTTTCTATCGTTATCGAAGAAGGTGTACCGTCGATAAATATCGATACCGTTTTATCGCCCAGGCCTACCTGTGACTCACCAAAATTGAATCAAATTTTATGAACATAATGGGTGGATGAGTTACTCCAAACGTTACTCCAGGTGTGAAAATGACTCAAACCACCGTGAGACATGTGTCATGTGATTGCGTGCTCAACAATCAGCATGTTTTCCCACACAAATCTACACGGGAGACGCCGGGGAGCAAACCAATGAAAACAGGAGGATGCCGAGGCAGGAGACGCCAGCGTCAGGGGAATTCAGGGAGTGAACCGTCCCTGTTTGGATGCAGTTTTAGTGATTAAAAAGTAGACGATGAGACTGGTGCACAAGACAGTATTTGACATTTACTACGAGCCAATTGTGTTGACATTTCTGTCTTTGAAAAACAGAAACCACAATGCCGTTTGCAAAGCTTCAACACATACGCAAAAGAACAAATCTTGTCAACAATGAGCTGGAGAAAGGTCAATCTCAAGTACATACTGAACACAGGCACTTTATGGAGAGGATCACATTTTGTGCTCTTCAATATGATTCATGAGTGGGTTTACAATTTTTTTGTCAGGGAAAGGTCATGTTTGGCTTTGCATATCTATTTACAAAATTATGTTCAAACCAGAGTACAAACTTATCATTTGAAACATAGCCATCTTTCCTTCTCGGGTTTACAGATTAAGGGTGATGGTTTTGATGGTTATCAGTATTGTGCAGATACGTGATGTATTAACAGCAGAAAAAACACAAATGGGGAACTGAGGAGAAAATAGCAGTCTCTTAAAGGTAGAAACAAGAGTAGATTTAACAGATACAGTAACTGTTATGGAAGTGAGAACCTGACATTATCATCATATTTAACCCAAGTAAATGTTTGATAAATAAAAAAGGCCTTTACTTAAAGTCTTTATGTATAATACATTACAAATGCATTTCATAATGTACATTGTAACATATCTTTTTATAAATAATTGTAACCAAAGTTAAGAGGCATTTGCAGATTCCTTCTCAGATCTGCATTTGGTAGTTTATTTATAATGCATTATTCTTTATAAAGGCGTAAGAAAAAATATATAAGTATTATAATGTGCTATAACTGAGGTTACAATTATTCATGAGATCATATAATACATTATAAGGTGCATAATTAATGCATTAAAAATACTTTTATAATGCTCTAGATATAAAGGCTTCAAGAGTTACCAAACAAGTTTATGATGTAAATTAATAAGAAATATTTAAGATTCTGCACCACCACCAACAAAAAAAATATTATAATATTTTTCATTATAAAAATGAATAAAATAATGTTTTATCATTATTAACAATTATAAATTATTACAATTAATAAAACAACTAGTTTATTTATTATAATTTAATTATAAATTATTATATTAAATTAAGGCCAGGTTGTGAAGAGATACTCTTCATATTATAGATATTATATTAAAGTTATATTAAATTATTATAATGAATAAAATAACAAAATACTAAATAGAAGTAAAACAAAGAACTGCAAAATATCAACTTACCATGGTATTACGGTCATCACAGCACTTTTTTTCTAAAATTCATATTAGTTTTATAATATTTTTTCAAAGACATAATGAGCAATCTGAGTTGCTGGTGTTTGAATATTCAAAATATTCAAAACAAAGACAACTTGCACCATACATGCATAATGTTAAAGTCCTATTTGACTGATCTAAAAGATCCTTTAGAAATCAAAACATTATTGTAATATGTCATCTAATATCATCCTTAATGCATTCAATTTGGCATATGCTAAACATTTGATGGCATTTATCCTAAACAAATGCTATACATCCTTTACCCCATTTCTCACCTGACTTTACCCCACCATCCCATCTGTCATCTACCCAGTGTCCCTGCTATGCTGATGGCTAGCTAGCTGAATCTGGTTTTAACCTGGTTGTCACACCATCCACCTGACAACATGGCCATAAAACTACATAACATAAATGCACACAGTCTCTGGCAGCATGTGAACCCTGATAATCTGATGCTTGTATGATAAATCACATACATCAGTGTCCCTTATCCATGCATAAATGCTAGTTTTGCTAGATCTATCCATGTGAATCCCAACCACCTAGGAATCAATCAGATGAGATTGCATGAACCGATGTCTTTCCTAACCCGTGTTTCGATTTAAACCCCAAGTTGCTAGTTACCCGAGTCTATGCCATCCGTCGTGCCCGAGTCCTCGGATGCTGCTGCCCCGGATAACGGACTCCCATCCCCGGCCTCAGACAGGCTGGCCGCCCCTTCATCCGCCGCTTCCATTCAATATCCCGGGATGAATCCTCCGACCGAGCGCTGTCAACCGATGATAGCGAATATTTCAAAACATACACCGCTTTTCCTCTCAGTTTGTATGGATGTGATTAGCTGCCAAAAACAAGGTGAGAGATTGAGGACTATCCCTTTGCGTCGTGGTCCTCCTCCTCTCGTCACGCACAGGATAGGGGTGTTCGATTCGCGGATGAATCGTTCGTGTGAACAGATTGAATTGAACTGATTCGCCAGGAGACTCGCGAATCATTTGTGAGCTGGTTTTGCTGTTTGTTTATCAGAAGAGGTTGTAACTTGGTACTAGAAATGAATTAAGAAGGAAAATATGACAGATATTTTGAAAGCATTTTACACTATCTTCAGGATGTACTTATAGATTTATATATTGGAGTTTTAACGGATTGCAACAAATGTGGTATTTGGCCGAAAACTATAGTTTTGCATTGAACAAACAACACAGCTTTGACACAGTATCCAACTAAATTAAATCAATGATAAACAGCGAGCGTTTTCTGTCATTAGGGAAAAAAAACCGTCAGCCCGGTGACTATCAAAACAATTGACCGTTTGAACTGATTCATTGAACCGAAACGAATGAATCGATTCGTCAAGATGAAACGTACTTCCAAACGAGAGCTGCTGAGTGTTTGATGAGGCTGCTCTCTGTTGGTGAATCTTTATTAATGCACTTAGGAAAAAAGGCTTAACTCTCATATATATATATATATATATATATATATATATATATACGATTTTTAAAA